TGTCGGCGCCGCCGTCATTATTTTGTAAACTGCGAATGTAATGGGCGAGCAGTGAACAAACAACTGACCGACGTCACTTCAACCCCACCACCGAGTGATATATAAAGCAGCGCAAGCGCAAGCTCGAGTCAGTCGTTCGTCGATCGTTGCCCAGTTCACACGTTACGCAATCGCTGAGTAATTTTATTGTTGGTTTTATTTGAGTGTTTCCTTTATATAATCAGTGCTGAATTATTCAATTATTATAATTAAAAATTAATGTGAAAGTAAGTTCATTTAATCGAAATAAACTAAGTGATTGTGTGAAGCCCTTTGTTTTATTTTCAAATAATGTCGGACCCTGATCCTACATATATGATTGTACATATGATACACATACCAAAATAACATTTTTAAAATTTTTGTCTGTCTGTCTGTTTGTACTGGCTAATCTGTGGAATGGCTGGACCGATTTTGCAAGACTTTTATTGGCAGGTAGCTGATGTACTAAGGAGTAGCATTACCTACTTTTATTTGGAAATGGTTTAATGTTTAAAGGCTACCATTGCAGTCTCCTTGTAGGTACTTATTTATGTACACACATTCAACACATAGGACAATACATATATAAAAATAGAGTACATAAGCCCCACATATTCCAACTGGAATTTCTTCCTGTGGGCCTATTGTGGGTTATTGTGGGTCTCGATAATCATATTGTGTCTTTGATATGAGAATTGACATAAAGTGAGTGACCGTAGGTTTAAGATGTCATAAAACTAAAACTTCTTAGTCCTGTCTCTAGATAAATGTAGACCCTGGTTAAACACCTAATCGCATATTAGTATTTTTATCATATCCGCGGCAAGACGTCAACTTCTAAACATACGAGGCCCAATTACCCTCCCCTTCCCCAATCTCCCCAATTCCTGAATCCCCGACGATCCTCAAACTCCTAATCCCCAAAAGGCCGGTAACGCAGTTGTAACGCCTCTGGTGTTCCAGGTGTCTATGGGCGACGCCGATTGCTTACAATCAGGTGATCCTTCTCGTTTACCGGCCTATGACATAAAAAAAAATGTGACCCCCGGTAATTTCTAGATCAAAGGCCTCCCATATTTTAGTAGAGCTTAACAAACGTTGATAATGACTTATTACAACTTATCGATACTAGAGAGCATGCTGAATAACTACTTGCATCATATACCGGGAACTTGTCTGTTAAAGTAAAGGTCAGGCTCAGCAGATAATGCTATAAATATAGGCGGGACATACAATGCCTTCTTATACATATTGTATTTGCGATATGACGATATGATCATTAGCACATATAGCTATATTACCAGTATTCTCTTTAAGACTGGATATGCATACTACTAACTATACACACTTACGTACATACTATATATACACACAGTAATATAAATACTAATTAGAAATAATAGGAGAGTCCAGACACCCTGTATTGAACATTTCTAAATCTTAAACAGTACATACACATACATCTTTGTTAAATCAAGGGACTATAAACTTTATTCTCTTTATATAATCTAGTACCTGGTAATAATACATAAATAACATCACACCTTTTGTCCCCGAAGGGGTAGGCAGAGTGAACATTATGTACGGCACTTAATGCAACTCTACAACGTAATACAAACTCACTTTTCACTATATGTTATTAGTCCCATGTAAGAGGGGTGAGACTATTGCCATATACCGAGCACAATTCCAGACTCCGTATTACTACTGAGAAATTTTTAACAAAACCCAGTATGTAATACTTTGCCTGACCAGGGAATCGAATCTGAGAGTACCCTTCTTTGCATCAGAAGTCTTGCATTGACCGTCCAATTACTTACTATTCCACATCATTGACGTAATATAAATCACGATAGTGTAATTATTTGTTTATCGACACAAAAAATCAAAAGCAAAAATACATAACGAAATGTTTCTTTAATGTGTCGTCGCTAACACATCTTGCAAACATTCCTTCAAACTGTACAGCTTTACGTCACACCACCGGACCGTATTACGTATGTCAATGGCATTTGACCCACTATTGTTTACACCAACCATCGACGCACAATTACCACTAGATAAATTCTCAATAAATATGATTTCATCTAAATTAACAACATTAAAACAACGATAATACACCCTGTTGTTGTACTGATAAAGTCGCTTTTTAATTGGCTCCAGCAGGAGGGATAGCAATTGTTTTTTAGTATTGCGTTTGTTTGTTTGCGTGTTTTGCAGTTGCCAAGGCGTTCCGTTGTAGATAAAATGTATGGAAGAGATTGTTTTTTTGATCGATGTTGTTCGGTTGTGTTACGTGACGTAGTTACATCACGAAATGCCGGTTTTAATGTTATAGGTCAAACAGGATTTGTTGATAATATTAATTATATTCTTTTTTATTCGAAAAAAACAATTTTAGTAAATTGTGAAATGAAAATTATTGTCGTAAATTGCATTTTAGTAGTAATATATTGATTATTGTTTGATTACTGCGTCGTTGGCCGAGTGGTCGCAAGGGGTCTCGGGTTCGATTCCAGGGTTGGGCAAAGTATTACTGGGTTATTAAAAAAAATCTCAGTATTAGCACGGAGTCTAGAATTGTGCCCGATATATGGCAATAGGCTCACCCCCTATTACATGGGACTCATAACATAAATAGTGAAAAGTGGGTATTACATTGTACAGTGGCATAATGTGCACCTCTGCCTATTCCTTCGGGGATAAAAGGCTCGATGTTATGTTAATTGATCAGCTATTGGAGAATTAAGTGCATGGTGATGGTTAAAAATGCTTAATGATAGTTAAATTTAATCTACCCTTGATGGTTTCAGGACCCTTATTCTATTTTTGGTAGACCCTCGTCTGACCAAGTTGAAGGCACTTCTTAAACTCTGTATTGACTTAAAACTGACGCCGCATACCTATGAAGTGATATCATATATTATTATGTTTTCGGCTTAATCACGTAGTAATTCGACGAGGAACTCGACTAGTTTCAAGCCATGCTAGAGGCTCATATTCATGAGCAGCATTTCGCGACCCACGACGCGGCGACTAGCACCGAAGCAGACTAGCACACGACTAGCGAGTAGCAGCGCGCAGTCGCGAAAGTTACAATACTGATATCATATAAATTGTATTTGGTTATAGGTGTCCTATACGCCGGCATGATGGTGACCAAGTCAGGGCCCATGACCCTGGAGTTCAACTGCCGGTTCGGAGACCCAGAGACACAGGTGCTCATGACATTGCTGGAGACGGACCTTTACAAGATCTTCAAGGTGAGATTCAATATTTGGAGGTTATATAGAATTTTGAAATGGTAAAGAAAGAGTGAAGGGATCTACATTATGTTGCCTATAAGTTATAAAGGATGTATGGACATGAACATGCTATTTAAAATTTATATGATGGAAAAACACCTCATTCCGAGTAACTAAGTGCAAAAGAGCCATGCTTCGGCACGAATGGGCCGGCTCGACCGGAGTGATACCACGGCCTCACAGAAAACCGACGTGAAACAACGCTTGCGTTGTGTTTCGTCGTGTGAGCGAGGTGACCGGAAGCCCAATTACTCCTAATCCCTAAATCCGAATTAATCCTCAAATTCCTAATCCCCAAATGGCCGGTTACGCACTTGTCACGCCTTTGGTGTTCTGGGGGTCTATGGGCGACGCCGATTGCTTACTATCAGGGGATCAGTCTGCTCGTTAACTGACTTATCCCATTACAAAAAAGAACTTCAGATCATCGCAGACAATTTTGTCGATTTGATCCGAAGCAAGAAAAGTGTTTTCTAATTACAATCTCTTGCATATAGCATTGCCGGTCGGTGATAGATAAATAACTATACATACATACAGTTGTTGGGTTAAGTAAATGATAAAACTTTGGAAAAAATTACCCATCGTTATAAATACAGGGTCTCCGTTCTTACATTCCTCCATTCTTTTGTAACAATTTTTAATATCATTATCTTCTGTTGTAGGCCTGTGTAGAAGGTACCTTGCGTCAGATCCAAGTGACGTGGAACACCAAACTGTCTGCCGTCGGCGTCGTCATCGCGTCCAAGGGATACCCTGAGACATCTACCAAGGGCTGTGTTATTAGCGGTAAGTTTTTGTGTAAAAATAATAATATTTTTTTATTACAATGTTTTGTTTAATGTTCTTTTACTAAATTAAATTTGCTACAGCATATTCTATGACTACGAAAGTATTCGTTTCGTTCCGATTTACATGTTAAAAGTTCACTCATGTGGTCTTAATGTATTTTTAATATTGTTATTTTAACGTGTTATAAATACTAATCTCAAACTGTATGTAAAGATAATGTTATGTTATGTGTGTTGTGTTTTCTCTCAACTTCATGTATTTTCCAAGATACATTTATGCCTGACTAACGACCCGCCACGGCTTCGCACGCGTCTAATATGCATGTATTATATATATAAACATTCCTTAAGAATCAATCTATCTACTAAAAAAACTGCATCAAAATCTGTTGCATAGTTCTAAAGATCTAAGCATACATAGGGACAGACAGACGGCGGATAGCGACCTTGTTTTATACTATGTAGTGGTTTTATATAAGTGGCACTTGTTCACAGGTTTAACTCAGGTCCAATGTATACCAGGACTAGTAGTATTCCACAGTGGGGTAGCCCGTGGAGCGAACGGTTCCCTGGTGTCGTGGGGCGGGCGCGTGGTGCTGGTGTGTGCCCGCGCGGGGTCGCTGCGGGCCGCCGCGGCCGCCGCCACGGCCGCCGCGGGACAGGTCGACTTCCCCGGCGCACATTACAGGAAGGACATCGCTCACCGGGCCTTCTCCAAGTACGTATAGTTTACCTAAAAATCGCGGATTACTCACGTGAATATCCTGAGAAAAACTCTACTAGTTTCGCGATTTTGCCGCGCACGCTGCTCATGAAGAAGAAAAGAAGAACCCTTCTGTGGTTCGAAACTAGCAGAGCTTTTCTCGGTATATTCACGTGAATAACCCGCGATGGTTAAACTCAAACTCAAAAGCATTTATTTCAATTAAACCATAATTTGGTACTTTTGAAACGTCAACAAATATGAAATATATAATAGTCTGTCATTCTGTCCGTCAGTGAAGCTAGGCGCTCGTTCCAAAATGTCGATTCGAGTGGAGAAGAACGAGCAAGAAACTCCATTCGTTACTCTTTTAAAAAAAGTCTGTTTTACACTGCTCTGATACATATTCCAATATTGTACACACATGTGAGAATAATGTAAAGACATACCTGACGCAACATACAAATAACAGAACATACTAAAATAGAAAAAAAACAAAACCAAGAGAAAACAAATATCTTAAGTCTGACTTGGTCCTCACATATGTATACTGACAATCCATATAAAATAGTGCTTCTATACAAGAAAAAAAGTTAGTTAATTTAGTATATCTTACGATAGTTATTATAAAATCATATGTATAGTTTTGTATGCTTATTCTGGAATTTTATAAATAGGGGTTGTGAATGGACCTGTCATCATGAATACCTATTTTTTAAATAACATGCCACGCTGTAGTGCTTTCGCATTTGGCGATTGCAGTTCAATAGCTGCTCGTGAATAGTTCAGGAACATATAACGAACAACTCTTGAGCTGCTCACGCATTCGCCAGATTCCACACCGAATCGTATAAACTTCTTATTGTGCTTCAAAAAATTTCACACCCGTATTAAGAACAACATTTTGAGAAAGCATGAACTTAACTTTATTACACAATTTCCAATACGATATACACTTCATAAATATCAATAAAACATTTATTTTTCTATTTACATTTTATCATGGGTAGAATCTACATGTGCTCATTCACAAATATTTTTTAACCCGTAAGTAATTTTACACATTACTAACTCTTCAATCACATACATATATACATAGTTTACTTCTAAAGCATAAAAACATCGCATGTGTAAAGATGAGCATAAAAATGTAATGTATTTTGTTTCAGCATGTATGCATCCGACAAAGAACGCGTCATTTAATTACATCCCTGATTAATTAATGATTAACTTTGTTAATTAATTGCATTTCTGATTAACTTTTGTCTTGTGATTAATTTCGTTATTAATCGAATCTTGCATTTGTCTTAGCTCGCATTTATATTGGAATGTTTCGGGTAAGGATCATTTTTTACGTCAAACGTATTTTTTTATTGTTTTCTTTTACATTTTGTATGTTATTTTCTTTTGTGCAATAAACGTGTATCGTTTTATATTGCTTGTTTTGTTTTTTCATCCTATTTGCATCGCATGTTTCTTAAACTTTTCAAAAGTTTAAAAGTATTGAAATTAACAAGAATGTTAGAAAAATTAAGTCACATTTTCCATGAGTATACATTAATATTAACCCATCTATAGATACAAATATATGTTTTGGACTTGAAGTCCTGAAAGATTATTCTACCAACTTTTCATAAAAAGATTTATTATTAAACTGTCAAACACCAAGCGGTCACCGGTGACCACAACCTATTGTTCTATAATTGTGTCTATAATGACGGTACTCGACGAGTTACGAGTTTTGCTTGCCTTTCCGACTGTTAATCAATAAATTATCTTACAGAAAGTAAATAATACTGCATGAAGCATGTCAACATACACACCTTTTATGTTGGACGATAGTCCATGTAATTTAGTTTATCACAGTCCATTATTATTAATTTTCTCAATACTATGATTAGACTATGGTGAGAAGACTCCCTAAATGTAAATGAGTTTATAACGACAAAATCTACCTTTACTATATACTTAACTGGTACACATAAAAAAAACAAACTCATCTATCAATCTATGACAATAGGTTCACCCAGGTATTGCATGGGACTCATAACTTAACTAATGAAAAGTCAATGTTACATTGAATATAGGTATCTAGTCGTACCCGTTCGGACTCCAAACTTTGGAGATCAACTGATCAATCCCCAAGCGGTCACCGGTGACCGCTCTCCATTAATTCCATTGTAGACCTTATTTCCGATGTTTAGAGACTACTTTTGTATTAACCAATTTTGGGAATTTATATCAAGTGATTAAAAAACGTGACGTTATATTATGACTATGAATCTATCATTTAGCCGTAAATTTCTCATTGCATTGATACTGAGTACCACAAAACTAAATTGAAGGCTCATATGTGTACTCATAACATTAAACTTTTTTATCAGAGTTGCACATATACAAGCTACTTCCGCGCGGTTTCACCCGCTCTGCTCAGCTTCTACTGATCGCAGCGTGATCTTATATGGCCCATAGCCGTCCTCGATAAATGCACTATGCAACGCAAAAAGAATTATTCAAATCGGACATGTAGTTACGGAGATTAGCGCGTTCAAACAAACAAACAAATGAACAAACATAAATATAATGGTATAACACATACAATGTTATACCCACTTATAAGAGTCCCATGCTACTTTATACATAGTAAAGCAAAGCCTAACGTCCTACAACTCCTTATCCAGAATCAACGGGCTCTCCTATCTCCAAAGTGGTGTGGACATAGACGCAGCTGCGACCCTAGTTCGTCAAATAGAGCCTATTGCAACTGCTACCCACCGGCGGGGAGTGCTAGGCAGGCTGGGATGCTATAGCGGCCTGTTCCAACTGTCCGCCATGGATCCTAGCCTCAAGGACCCCGTGCTGGTCCAAGGCACTGATGGTGTTGGGACTAAGCTTAAGGTGAGAAGTGTGCTTTATTATTTGTGTATAAAATGATAGTTTAATGCGGAAAGTAGGTAGGCTTACGGCCATTTTTTATAACCTATTTATCTGTAGATTTGCTTACTGAGATAGAATTTAGACACATTTTGTACGGAGCTTATGTCAAATGTCAAAATAGAAAATGCCCGTTAGTGGTAACGGTAGAAAAGATTTGTAAACCATTTAATAATTTTCCAGTTGTTACTTTCTTGCATCTTACATAAAAGTATGAAATAAAAGAGGTTGATAAGCAAATTAGTGATTTTCTCACTCAACCATTCGAAGATCTAGAAAATATTGTAGATAAGTATCCAATTGATAAATACGACACATAAGAAACCTTTACCTTTGTAGCAAGTATGTTATGGAGAGAATAAAAAAAATGTTACTGAAAGTTTTTTTTAATACTTATATTACCAAATTAATTACAGATCGCAGAACTAATGCAGAAATACGACACGCTGGGCCAAGATTTGGTGGCGATGTGTGTGAACGACATCCTGTGCGCGGGCGCGGAGCCGTTCGCGTTCCTGGACTACATGGCGTGCGGCCGCCTGCAGGTCCACGTGGCCACCTCCATCGTACGGGGCATCGCGGACGCTTGCACGCTGTCGGGCTGCGCTCTGCTGGGTAAGCGTAATTATATCTTAGTTTAAAAATAGTCATTTATCTTTTAGCTACAGTCGTTCCACTGTACGACTAGATCGTATATTTTTGGGTATGATCTGTGTTTAATTTCGGCCAAAGTATTCCTGGGTTTTTTGAAAAATTTCTCAGTAGTTGCATAGAGTCTGGAATTGTGCCCAGTATATGGCGATAGGCTCACCCCCTATTACATGGGACTCGTAACATAAATAGTGAAAAGTGGGTGTTACATTGAGCGTCGTAAAGTGCACCTCTGCCTACACCTTCGGGGATAAAAGGCGTGATGTTATGTTCTATTATGTGTATTTCGGCCACTTGACTTTGACTGCACGTTTAACGTATGTTGCACTAGTTGGGCAACCGGCTGATACGTACCGTGTCGTAGATTCGATGCTCGTATAAAACAATCCTTTTTGTGATCCACGAGTTGTTGTTGATACGGAAGTATTAAAACATATCTACGATACAGGAGAAATCTTAAAATGGGAAAACGTTTTCAATTATAATAAAACTAAGATAATTTTGACGCTTAATGCTAAATGTGGTTATTGTTTTGTTATGAGGCTTAATTTTTTTGTAACTCACTTAACTTTCTTTTTTCATTTAGGTGGTGAGACAGCAGAAATGCCGTCAATGTACGAGATAGGTAAGTACGACCTGGCCGGGTTCGCAGTAGGCGTGGTCGACAACCTCAAACAACTCCCGCGCACCAAGGAGATCCGGCCCGGCGACGTCGTGCTCGCACTGCCATCTACAGGCGTACATAGTAACGGGTACAGCCTGGTGCAGAAGATCATGATGGAGACTGGACATAGGTAAGATAACTCGTTTGTTTTAAATAACTGTACTTACATATATTGTTTCGCCGTTTTTGTTATATTAAATTATATCATCATAAATATCATCATCATAAATAGTGAAAAGTGGGTGTTACATTGTACAGTGGCATAATGTACACCTTTGCCTACCCCTTCGGGGATAAAAGGCGTGATGTTATGTTATGTATGTAAATTATATCATAGTAATAAATAAGACGCGAAACCGATTGCCAATATACAACATGATTCCATAAACATAGTCTGTCTAAATCGAAAAACAATAGCTTTTGGATTATAATATAATAGCAATCAAACCACTGATTATTTGTAACGAATATTTTTGAAACTTTATTGATAAAATTTTCCTATCCCTGATTCAGAATACTCATAAATCGTTATAAAATACGAGATTTATACGATTATAATATGTCGTTTCGGATACAACACAAAAATTTACCCAACATGAACACCTGTATTCTAACATAATAACTTTGCCTTCCTCCAGATACAACGAACCAGCAGCCTTCAGCACCACAAACAAGACTTATGGCGAAGAGTTCCTAGTGCCCACTGGTATATACGTAAAGGCCCTATTACCGGCCATTAAGAAGCAGCTCATCAAAGGACTCGCCCATATCACCGGCGGAGGCCTATTGGAGAACATTCCCAGGATCCTACCTCCAGGCATCAAAGTGAAATTGGACGCTACGAAGTTTAATATTAAGCCCGTTTTTGGATGGCTGCAGGCTAAAGGTATGTTGGGATGTGAATCTTAGTGGTGTAGTGGAATGTGGATTGATTGAGTTAATAGCAGTGTTCTACTGTGAAAATAACGAATTTGTTTTGAAAACTTATCAACATGTAGAAGCGCATAAACAGGTGTAATTGTTACTGATAGCAGCCTTGCAAATAAAACAATCTTTACTCATTCACATTTGGTCTGATTTAAGTGGTTTTTTCCTGCTAAAATTTGCGAAGTTTTCATCAATCTTTAGTAAAACTGAACTCCACAATGAAGTCTTATAAACCACATTCATCTATATTAAATTAAAAAATTCATACCTATTCCAAATTGCACCGTACACCTTCTAAAAAAAAGTCTTCTTCTTCAGGAGTTGTATCAGACTTCGAGATGCTCCGTACATTCAACTGCGGTGTCGGTATGGTGGTGATCGTGGACCCAGTCTGCGTAAAAGAGTTACTGGACTCTGTGGACGAAGAGATCGCAGTCGTAGGCGTCGTGGAAGCCATGGGCAAGGAAGGTATGCGGGATTTTGACACTTTTATACAGATTAATAGGGCTTAAAGTCACATCAGGCTATGGGCAAGGAAGGTATTTGATATTTTGAGATCTGTGAGGAAGTAATAAGGTTAAAACTGTTAATATGGCGTCACGATTAAGATCCACCATAATTTTCCACCAGGAGGACACCAAGTTGTCGTAGAAAACTTCAAGGAAGCGATGCACCCCCTCACATCTCCGTACGTGGCCGGAGACAGGGCGTCTCCTCAGAAGTCACTCTCCTACAAGGACAGTGGAGTGGACATTGAGGCTGGAGACTCTCTTGTGTCTCTTATCAAGCCTTTGGCAAGGTATGTCGGACTCTCTATTTCAGGTATCAAATCATTTTCTGAGTATTATCATCAACAATTCAAAATAGCTCACTGCTAGATTATGGTCTTCTCTACATCATACAACATGGGGTTGACAAAAAATATATTCTGCTCCATCGTCACAAGGCATTTATAATAGAATATATTATTTTTATGCAGGTCTACATCACGTTCAGGAGTGCTCGGTGGACTCGGAGGTTTTGGAGGCTGCTTCCAATTGAAGGCTGTTGAAGAAGAATATAAGGTATTCAAAGTTCTGATGTTCAGCAAAACGAGTATTTTAGCTGGCACTGATTCGATGCAATCGACTGATTATGTCTTAAACATTGCAGTTGTTTCAAAGCTACTAACAAAATCTGCAGCCAAAATGTTATGGCAATATTAATAATGATATTCCTCATAAATATTTATCAGAGTTTCTCTTTGCACACAGGATCCTGTCCTCGTCCTAGCAGCCGACGGAGTAGGCACCAAGCTAAAGATAGCTCAGAAAATAAACCAGCACAGTACTATCGGTATCGACCTGGTCGCCATGTGTGTTAACGACATACTTTGTAACGGGGCGGCGCCACTTACGTTTTTGGACTACTTCGCCTGCGGTTCCCTAGACGTCAATGTAGCCAGGAATGTTGTTTCGGGAGTCGCTGAGGGATGCAGACAATCTTCTGCTGCTTTGATTGGTGAGTTATTGTTAAGCTTTATCTAGTTTTATCGTAATTTTACGTAGAGTTGCTATTGAACTACTTCTTTTTTTGGCTACACAACTCCTTGTCCCATCATAGTAATTGTTTATAGTTTCGACCGTCACTGTTTCTGTATCTACCACTTAAAGTTAGACTGACAAATAACCATAAGAAGTGCATCTATGTAAGTAAATTATTTATAGAAAAAGCATTGTAAATAAAAACTATTATATTATATACTCTTATATTATATAATTATACGATATACTTCATCGTAATTTTGTATTTAGGTGGTGAGACAGCTGAAATGCCAGGTATGTACGAGCCAGGAGTGTATGACATCGCCGGCTTCGCGCTCGGAGTCGTTGAGAGATCACATATACTGCCCAAGATCAACGATATCGCGGTAAGTTTATGCGGCGATTTTAAAATGTGTTTAGAAATTTTCAATATTTCCTTTGTTAGACTATTAGACACAGTGTTTGAAAATTGCTCTAATATAATGTGTGCTTAGAAATCAATTTTAATATGTATAAGTTATGATGCTAACAGTTGCGCAAAATTATGCCTACTTGAGCAACATTATGCGCAACAAGGATGAAGCGCAAATTGGCGAATTTTAATAAAATACTGGTTTACAAATGGATCTACTCGTTGCAATCCTTGTTATGATACCTATTCATTTTACCACAAAACTCAAATCTAGCTATACCAAAAAATAAGCGATAATTGTTTAATAGGGTAGTATCCTAAATTTTAATTTAATGTGCGTCTGGTAGATTATTTTAAAACATCACACACGTATTTTTTCTTTTCTTACAAAATTAAATACTTTCGACGATATATTGATTTGAAATGTCGTGTGACGTCACGATTTACTACATTTTATCGGGTAGTGTACGTAACGACTCCTAAACTTAACTACGTTTTATCTAAGTATTGTTTTCTTATACGAAAATATAAAAAATGTGTCTAATATTTTTTCATTATGGAACTGACGAACTAATTACTTTTTTTATACTCTGTCTGCTACTCTATTATAATAGATTGAATGATTATGACTAGGTTGGCGACATAATCATCGGTCTGCCTTCTAACGGAGTCCACAGCAACGGCTTCAGTTTGATCCACAAGTTGATGAAGAAGTCCGGCCTCACGCTCAATGACAAGGCTCCATTCAGCAAAGAGGGACTTACTCTTGGTAAGTAGTTTGATAATTCGAAGTTGGATTGGTATGGATAATAATTGGTATTAAATATCATTGAAATATATTTTTGGTTATTTCTTTGGAGAGTTCAGTGCAATTGCATATTTAACTGTATACTGTAAATGTCAAAGATGAAATGATTTTATTTGATTGACTTTATTTTCTGCACAAAATGTATCTTTCTGTTCTCAAGAAAAGTGTGTACAATTTGGTAATTTTGGTATCGGAGACGAACCACTTTTTTCAAAAAACTCAAACTCTAAAGCATTTATTTCAATTAAACCATAGCTTTTGAAACGTCAACAAATACAAAATAAATAATAGTCTGTCAGTCTGTCCGTCAGTGAAGAGACAGCATTAACTTTTCAAACACTTTGCTGAGAACCGGCAAAACAGACACTTTTTTTTTAAGGGGGGAAAATCATCGAATGACTGCTCCCGCCTGGGTGAGGCGGGAGGGAGGGTGTCAGACTCTTACTGACTAAAAACCACCCCGTTCCTTTTCCTGCACGTCGAGCTGGAACCCGGTTACCCGTTAGGTTCTCCGCGACAAAACAGACACTGGCCTATAGCTGTTTGGTTCTTTAGTGTCACCATTTTTAAATAGTGGGATAACTTTACTATATTTCATTAGGTCAGGGAAAACACCGTCAATTTTGTATGGCTATTAATTTACGTGTTTTACACATTTCATTTAAGTTAACATGTTTTCACTGATAAGTGGACTTTTTGACCTCTGTCTCGATTTTGGGGGCAACGGGGGCGGGCAACAAGCGGTGCACTCCAGTCAAGCTGTGCCCGCCGCCGCGCCGCCCCGCTGTCTGTAAAATTCGAGGCAGAGGCCTTTAAGTTACCTACCTGTATTATAAGAATATCGTAATAATTTGATATCGTCCCCCTGCAGGCGAGGAGCTGATCAAGCCGACCCGTATCTACGCGCGCAGCGTGCTGCCGGCGCTGCGCGGCGGGCGCGTGAAGGCCGTGGCGCACATCACGGGCGGCGGCCTGCTCGAGAACATCCCGCGCGTCATCCCGCCCGCCGTGCGCGCGCGGCTCAACGCGCACTGGTGGCACGTACACCCCGTACGTGCAGTGCTTACATTATTATTACTCCAGTCTGTATACAAGTGGCATTTGGACCCAATCCTCTAGTGCTGCGGGTGTCCATGGACGGCGCTGATCGCTTACCGTCTGCTCGTTTGCCTCCTATTCCATAAAAAAGAATCCAGCAACGCCCTTGTAACTCCTCCAGTGTTGCGAGTGTCTATAGACGACGCGTTTACCGACCTATCCATTGAAAAAGATATACGTTCTTAGATACTATTGTTGACCTATAATGGACATAGGTCCATAACATGTATAAAACAAACTGTTTTATCTTATAAACCTCTATTATAACATCCCTCCAGTGAGAGTGACAGTATTCAAAAAGTGCCTTTAAACGGTTGAATGCGAAGAGCTAAAAGTCGAGCTCAGTGGCGTACTATTCGAAAGGCCAAATCCAGTAATGGAAACTGACTGATGATAATAATAGAATCGACTATGATATTTTAGATTTCGTTGACTAATTTTTCTACCAATAAATACTCGAAGTTTACCTGTTATAATTTCATCGTTTCTTCGTGCAGGTGTTCTCATGGATCGCGGACGCTGGTGCGGTACAAGACGAGGAGATGTTGAGGACTTTCAACTGTGGTATCGGAATGGTACTCGTCGTGTCGCCGGAAGATCAAGCTGAGGTGAGTTGCATGGAAACTTTCAAATATCTGAGCTTAACAGCAGCTAGAAACAAATAAAAATGTCATTCGCTAATCGTCAGACGAGATGATAGCCAAATGTCGAAAAATATATTAAGTACAGTGTTGTAGTTGTGTCGGAAAATTGAATTTTTTTTGCTTATGTAATAATCGTTCTAATTACAACTAAGTACTTGAAGTTTTTATGTCAGCCATAATATCTGTTATGTCTTCAAAAATGTTAATGCATAATAATTATGTCTAAAAATCATAGTCAATATTTTGTGTAACACCTTTTATTTATATTTCAGGTAATGAACACAACTCGTGCATTCGGCGCGATGGTGATCGGAAGCATACAGAAGCGTCCAGCAGATGGCGCCCGTGTTGTTGTAGACAACTTCGCCTCAGCCATGGACTTCACAAGAAGAATGCCGCTCTTACCTAAAAAGAAAGTAAGTTATCATTTCATTTTAAGTTTATTTTACACAAGTACAAAAAATAGATTTGTAAATCGTGAATGTTACGCATGTTTGCGCAAGTGTTTGCGCTAAATTGCGCAACCGTATTTTAAACTGGTAACTAAATGACAGATACTGAAAATAGCTCTGTTACATCAGTGACCAATGTAAAGGTTAATTATTGATTGATAAATAAAGTATTGACTTTATTATACAAAAACAATACAGTTCGAAATAGAAGATTGTTATTATAAATACAAGGGTAGATTGACCTCAATCAATTAGCCTTTATTTTATACACATATAATTTTCTTGTATTATTTCTGGTCCGTTAAATACTTTATATCTTCCCAGGTGGCAGTCCTAGTATCAGGTAACGGCAGCAACTTGCAAGCGTTGCTGGACACGACGCGCGAGGCGGCGCAGTGCATGTGCGCCGACATATGTCTCGTAGTCAGCAACAAGAAGGACGCATACGCTCTGCAACGCGCTGAGAAAGCTGGGGTGCCTGCGATGGTAGGTCACTTTTATATATACGTTTATTCAGTATTTTGCATGTAAAACCTTTGGCACTCATGGCTAAACCTGAGAATGGAAGTAAGAAAATGAAAAGTAGTTGTCATTATAATAACACTCTTAGTTGTAGGCGTCTTAAATAGAAAGATTTAGAACCAAAAACATCTGTTACAGTACTTATAGATAATAATGTAATGAAAAATGTATTTAAAGGGCTTACGTGTTTTAGATTGAGTGTTTCTTACAATTTTATATATCCAATAGTTTCAACTGTGTTTATGCGACTTCTTGTCAGGCCATTCTTAATAAAATAACCTGTCTTACGACAAATGGCATTTTGTCATCCTTAATGGATCAGTTAAATATAAAGTTATAAGTATAATTGATTATATTATTTAATTCTACCAGGTATTCAACCACAAAGACTACGCCTCACGGGAGGAGTTTGACCGCGCCGTGTCTGAAGCACTCGAGGCACACAAGGTAGACATCGTCTGTCTCGCCGGGTACATGAGGATCCTGTCCAGCGAGTTCGTTAAGAAGTAAGTTGATCGATTTGCAACTTTATTGTGTTGTGATAAACTTTAATATAAGATATTTAATATTTCAAGTGAAAGTGATCAGAATATTTTGTCTTGTATTGTTTCTGGTATGATAACAGCGTTGTTTGTACGTAGATGGCACGGTCGTCTGCTGAACATCCACCCGTCGCTGCTGCCGCGGCACGCCGGGCTGCGCGCCCAGCAGCAGTGCCTCGACGCCGGCGACAGGGAGAGTGGCTGCACCGTGCACTTTGTCGACGTAAGGATCTTGTTTGTTTTAAACATATTGATACAGAAAAAGCAGTAGCTACGACTGTCTTTTCTAGCAAAATCTAAAAGAAATAATCTTTGTAGGTTCCTATTATAAGTTTTCTATAATTCCATTTTCTTCCGGATTTTTAAGTAGGTATTTAAGTAAGCAATCGACGTCGCCCATAGACACCTGGACCACGTTACTGGCCTTTTGGGATTAGGAATTTGAGGATTAATAGGGATTCAAGGATTGGGGAAAGGCGGAGGTGGGACTCTAGTAACCTCACTCACACGATCAAACACAACGCAAGCATTGTATCTCGTCGGTTTTCTGTGATGCCGTATATTTACTAGTTGCTTCATAGCGGAGGTCATAACCTGTTTTCGGTGTGAATATTATAGATTCCGGAAACGGTTTAATTTGTGTGATTTCAACCTACATAGAATTAGGGAAACATTAATTTAGATTATAATTGTATACCATTTCTTATGCCGTTGTAATGAATTACACCTAAAATCTTATAATTATCTCCTCTTCAGGAGGGCATGGACACTGGCCCGATTATCCTCCAAGAAAGAGTACCAGTACTGCAGAAGGACACGGTAGAGTCCCTGACAGAACGTATCCACGAGGCGGAGCACCGCGCCTACCCGCGCGCACTGCGCCTCGTCGCCACCGGACGGGTCAGGCTCAACCATCAGGGGACGCTCATGTGGTACTCTTAGGGACTAGGGACCATGGTTCTGTAACACTCATATAATGTAGGTTGATGGGAGGTACTTCTTAGTATTTTCAAACCATTTAAAATTATATAAAAAAGGCACAAAATCAAATCGTATATAGGTATGTGTTCTTAGTCAGATTTTCTCCATTCAAAATGATTTGTGTCGAGTAGGTTAATTGTGCAATATCCAGCCTGTCTCCCTGTTCTTGTTGGGAGACAAATGGTCAAAAGCATCGACTCTTGTAAAACTCTTTCTTTCTGTTCTTGCCCTTTTTTATATGCTATATAATTTTATTATCTTTAAAACAATGCATTTAAGTTAGTAATATTTTTAGTTAACTATATTGTTCAATCGTTGATATTTCTTCAAAGCTAAGATTGTTTCCTGTCAACCTAATATAAAAAGTAAATTGATTAGCATAAACCTTAGGTATATATTATGAAACAAATCGAATATGTATGAAACTATAGACTTGAACATTTCAATCTCAATATTATGGGACCAAATATGTAAAAACAATATACATAACTTTACATTCCTATTACGTCTTTAAATATTAGTTTTTTATACTTGAAATTTTATTATATTTATCATAAAATTATGGAATATAGAGAACCTCGAATTTGTATATAAGAGTAAAGTTATCACATTATTAGTTAAGTATAATTATATATTGAACTGTTAGTAAAAGTTTTTTTATATAAATTTTATTAAAAACAATGCAATATACTGATTAGTTTACTGAAGAAAATTATTTGATATTATACATCTTTATTTACATTGTATGAAGTGCAATAATCGGCCGACTATCGCCAGTACATAAAGCAGGAAACATACTATTGATTTGCGTCACGACCCAACCAAATAGAACACTTTGATTAGTAGATGAACACTTTTGAAGATGTCATGTATGATGACCAAAGCTTTACGCATTGTGTGTTAGGATAGTATGTTCCCAGCTTTATCTGATTCTGGTCAGAAGGTTCAGTTATTATTGTTATGTCTATTCCTATATTATGATATTACTTTAAATAAAACGCATGATTATGAAATGCCATTTAAAATATAAGTATGTTAAGTTTTACAGTGTGTTTGAAATAAAACCTTTTTTGTATATATTTCGTGTTTTATTGCCCATTTTAAAAAGTGTCTATAAAATATTATCACAGATATGTAGGTAATATGTAAAAACAAAAATTAAATGATACATCTCTTCATAAAACAAAACAATATCATAAAATAACATTACAAATCTTTTGTAATTTACATTGTTCAAGATTTATTCTTATCTTTGAACATAATCAAATCACCTAAACCTTTGAAAAATATTCCAAATAAATCGTCGCTATCATTACTAGCATATTCATTAGGTTTCGTAACATCAATGTTCTCTGTCTTGACCCTGGCAACAGAATGAAGACCGTTCTTCAAAATTTCGTCACATATTTTATCAAACTCCACATGAAACTTCTGTTTATTCATCAAAGGAACTATTAAATTATATTTATTTATCTTCATATTAATTGATGATGCTAGTTCTTTATTACTTTCATATATTCTCTCCCATTTCGTTACATCCTCTTCGTTTAATGGATAAGGACCGAAATACATTCTGTCTGAACGGATTTCTTCTTTTAAACTGTCTATCTCTTGGTCTATTTCTTTAGCTAATGTTATCCATTCGGGTGTGAAGCCGTTGTTTATGAGGACCTGTAATATAAAAATAATGTTGGTCCCGAAACTGTACCCTGGGGAAGCCCTACTGTGAAACATACTAATAAAGTATTTCTGTGCTAATTATTAACTTTTCTTTAATTAATTCTATAACTAGGAACTATAAATCAACAAAATTTACCTCATTTAACTTATGTGTAGTAAAATCAACATAAGGATTATTGTTTTGATTCTTCAAAGGCTTTCCTTTGCCGCTTAGATTTTCAAATTCTCCTTTAGACATGGATTCTTGTATTAAATCTTCAACCAGTCTATCAAAACCGTATTTAGTTTTGATATCATGTTTCTTGCCATATCCTTGACCTTTTTTCATGAGGGTTTTGTCAGAAGCTACTGCTTTTTCAAGGCGGTGTTCCATGACGTTGATGGCTGCCTTCATTGCTCTGGCCTGCGTGTACTGCTTCTGTCTTTGGAATATGGTTCCATGGCCATAACCCTCGTAGCTTAGGTACTGTCTGTGTTGTGGTGCTGTGTGCTATAATAAATGTAAAGGACTGAGTAGAGTAAGTGGTTATCACAACAAATATTAACATTTTATCTGTTTTACAATAATCTGACACAAAAATATTACTTCGAAGTCTATTTTCTAGCACTTTAGTTTACTCTATGTCTTATCAATTATTTGAGTTTGATCATAGCTATGGGTAAACAAATCTTATCATAAAATGAAATGAATGATACTAAGCATGCCCGAGTTAAATACTCACCCTTATATCAAACACAATCTTCTCAACCTCTTCTTTATTACTCGCACCAGTGTTGTGTTTACTAAGAACTCTGAATGCATTCTCCACAGCTACAAACTTGTCCATGTCAGCTTCTGGCGACCCAGAGTCTGGATGGTATTTCTTGGCAAGGTCCAAGAAGGCCTGACGGACTACATCCTGCTTGGAGTCTATTGGAATATTGAGAATATTGCAACATTCCTGAAAAATAAATAAAAAGTAAACAAACGAATTGCTTATTTATTGAATTTTTTAGGCTAAACACCAAATAAATACTGTCAAAGTTAGTATTCAAGTTGTATTTAGCTACACAAAGAACATTAAAGTTCTTTAATTCAAACTTTTTAAAACTTACAGCGATCTTTTTCTGTGTTGATTTTGAAGTTATAGTTTTAGCGGCAATAAATGTAGGAGCGAAATAACATGGAACTGCTCGATCCAGGTGCCTGAAAGTCGCCGATATCAGTGCCTTACTCATGTTTATTTATTTGTTTATACTTAGAACATATTTACTTGTTATTTGTTACGTAAATACAATGTTTTTGTAATTTGTAATTTTACGATATTAAGACAGCTGTCATTCTGCTTTTTTCAGTTCATTTTGACATTACTTTTGATGTTTATAAAGCTTATACTCAAAAGATTGTCCCTGAAAGTCTGCAAAATTCCAATTAGAAATCGCTACTTTTGTTTGGCTGCACAACAAAATATACTATAGAGACGTGGATATTAAAAACATTTAGTAAGTCAATAGCAAAAAGAAATACATTTTCACACATTCAAGTCAATACGATAGCTTCCTTTACAAAACGTATCAAATTATTCGATTGCTACATCGATAAAAGTCGATATTATACTGCTTGTTTTCTAATATTGGAAATAAAATTCCTAGCGATAATTTTACTTTTTTTCTACTAAATCTCCTTAGGATAGTATATTTCAACACCTAGTGCATCAAATTATTTTTTTTGTTTCAAGTATATAGCCATCGATATTGCGTTGGTCTTATAAGAATCGATTTAAACCCAACCCTGATTCGTTGACATTTTGTCGTTTTCGGTAGAGAGCGTAAAATTAGCTTATTTTTATGTTATAATTGCAATTAATTAACGCGCTCACTGTGACTACGTGTAATTAGATAGTGATATGTGTAGAGAGTAGACATTGTGCTATTTATTTGTGTAAGATTATTGTATGTGCTAACACTATGGCATTTACTGCGGAGGAAGTCGCGAGACGCTATCCGATCCACTGGCTAGTGTGGAATAATCATCACGAAGAGCTGAAAGCTCATCTGGATAACAACAAGGTATGATATTATCGTTAATTGTATATTTAGGCGCTATAACTCCCGTTTATTCGGTTTTATTTGAGGTTATACCCGGGATAGCTCCCGGCTATAGCACTGCGGTAGCCGATTTACCAACGTAGGTGTTAAAGATCGTGTTTACCGAGCTCATTCTAATTAGTCTGCTAATCAAATGTAGACCAGCTTCTGTATTTTAGTTGCTAGTGCTGTCATGGCCCTCTTGTTGTGCCAATATGAAGTACAGATAATACTTTGATAATAAAACGCGCATTATTTACCCTACTGATAGTTTATCGGTATATTGAAGGAACACATTATGTTTTTTTTTAAAATGAGTGTGGTACTTAATTTGTGTTGTCACAATAGTATGAGTCATTCGGAATTAATTTGTTTTCATTTTATTGCTGATAAAACCTCTATAGTGTGTTTTGAAGTTCATTCTTTTTTTAAGACACTTAAATTACCTAAACTGATTCTCAAGGTAATAAGAAGCCAAACAGGACAATAACAATCTCATTATGAAGAAGCCTTATAAACTAAATTCAAGGTTGAAAATGGAGTTTACACATAATATTACTTCCTCTATCTTACATTAAAAAAAAAAACACAGACTTTCTGAAAATTGGATTTTAAAACCACCCCTGTTTAGATTTTCAACCTTATTTACTTGAGGATAAGATAGAAAATGGACTGGCATTTGTGTGCAAACACATTTATGTGTTCATAAAATAGTTTCAGATAGGTATAGAGTCAGCAAGAGTAATAAAAGTTAAATGTTTACATAATATATGTTTACATTTGAGTTGGGATTAAATCAAGTTGTTTTTGCAACAAATTTCAGCTCCAATGTATGTATGAGTCACTTGATTACAAGTACTTGGAGTGTAACATCTGGTCTTAACAAAAATGTTCCCTGTTTACGAGAATGTTGAATTCAGATACATATCCTATCTGTGGTTTTCCTTAGTCGTTTTAATTAACTTCACACCTTTTATCCGTGAAGACCCCTTCAGAGGCAGACATGCACATTACGGCACTTAATGCCACTGTACAATCAAACAAACGGCGCGTAGCGTCGTGTTCCGCGCTCGCCTCAAAGAGCCATCAGACCACCACAGATGGGGCCCAATAGGGCTGATGCTGTTATGGAGCCGCAGAGAGCTTAACAGGTTACCGGGGCTTCAGCGAGAAGTCTAGGAGTAGGAACGGGGTGGTTTCTGACACTTCCTCCCGCTTCACCCAGGTGGGAGAAGTAATTTGATGATTTTCCCTACATAAACAAAAAATGCCACTACAAGTACAATGTAATACCCACTTTTCACTATTTATGTTATGAGTCATGTAATAGGAGTAACAAATGGAGTTTCTTGCTCGTTCTTCTCCATTCGAATCTATGTTTTGGAATGAGCACCTAGCTTCACCTAATTTCACTGACGGACTGACTGACAGACTATTATTTATTTTGTATTTGTTGATGTTTCAAAAGTACCAAACTATGGTTTAATTGAAATAAATGCTTTGACTTTGACTTTGACTTTAGGGGGTGAGCCTATGCCATATACTGGGCACAATTCCAGACTCCGTGCTACTATTGAGAATGTTTTAAAAAACCCAGCCCTTGCCAGGCAGTCACACTTGCAACCATTCGGCCAATAAAACCAGTTAATAATATTATTTATACATGCCAATGTGTGTTTGTTTATTTTATTGTGTTAGAACCAAGGGCTTTTATAGTCAGATTTTGTGTCTGGGCTCTGGAAATAGGTGGTTAGAGAGTGATATATGCTACCTTTTTCTTCTAACGAAGCACCAAAAAGTTGACCTTGTAAATATATATATAAATATTGCTAAACCTTAATTACCTAAATTGTTTAATATGAATTACTTTAAATAGTACTATAACACCTGTTTTCTGTTAAGAATGCAAGTGGAATGGATATTTGGAGTGATAATGTTCTATGTGAATGAGGAAATAAGGTGTTTTTGTGAAAACAAACAATATTTTATCATGAAACACATGAATGAATCAATGTAACCCAATCTTATCTAATCTGTGAGATCATCACACCTATATCCTGTGTCCTTGGTATTGTTACACAATTTCTCATTCCAGAATACATACTAATTGTGATTTCATTTCAATTATTGAAACTCGAAACTGAGTTTTAACCCTAGAAATGCTTAAAAACTTTTTTTTATTCTTTTTATTTACTGGCTACTAGTTGTAACATAACATAACATCACGCCTTTTATCCGCGAAAGGGTAGGCAGAGGTGCACACAGATGTAACACTCACTTTTCACTATTTATGTTATGAGTCCCATGTAATAGGGGGTGAGCCTATTGCCATATACCGGGCACAATTCCAGACTCCGTGCTACTACTGAGAATTTTTTTAAAAAACCCAGTACTTAATACTTTGCCCGACCCGGGAATCGAACCCGAGACCCCTTGCCCGGCAGTCGCACTTGCGACCACTCGGCCAACGAGGCAGTCTGGCTACTAGTTGTATGTATTTATATGTCATTTATTAGTAATTTGTCATTAAAAATAAATATAAGCTATAATTAAAGAAACTTAACACCTATAATTTTGGAAACTGGTAGGATAAAGGTTCTTAATTACAAAATAAAGCAATATTTGTCCCACATTTAACAGATTTTAGTTGGTTTTTTAGTGGCGTTAGCCTGTTTCCATTAACTGCTAGATATAGAGCTCTTCAATAGCTCATGTAACATCACGCCTTTTACTACCGAAGGGGTAGGAAGAGGTGCACATTACGGAACTTAATGCCAAAAAACTCGAATCTTTAGTATCTGATTCTAGAATTATGTTTTACCCTGAGAACAATACGTCAAAGTCAAAGTCAAAACATTTATTTCAATTAAACCATAATTTGGTACTTTTGAAACATCAATAAAAACAAAATAACTATTATAATAGTCTGTCAGGCAGTCCGTCAGTGAAGCTAGGTGAAGCTAGGTGCTCATTCCAAAATGTAGATTCGAATGGAGAAGAACGAGCAAGAAACTGCATTCGTTACTCTTTTTAAAAAAGTATGTTCTACAATGTCTCTGATACATATTCCAATACTGTATGCTGTATGTATATGTGAGAACAATGGAAAGACACGCTACGCTTTACTACACCATCTTATAATATATTTTAAATTTTCAGTTTACACAAGAAGAACTAGAAACCAAAGATTGTAGAGGTCGCACTCCTCTGTTGTTGGCGGTGACGCTCGGTCACTTGGAGACTACGCGCGTGCTCATTGAGGCCGGTGCTGATGTCAACTGCGAGAAAGATGGCTGGACTGGTCAGTATTGAGTTTAAAATAGTTTTACTTGGTTAACTGCCTCGTTGACGAATGGACGCAAATGCGACTGCCGGGCAAGGGTTCTCGGGTTCGATTCCCGGGTCGGGCAAAGTAATACTGGGTTTTTACAAATTCACAGTAGTAGCACGGAGTCTGCAATTGTGCCTTGTATAGTGCAATAGGCTCATCACCTATTACATGGGACTCATAACATAAAATAGTGAAAAGTGGGTGTTACATTGTACAGTGGCATAATGTACACCTCTGCCTATCCCTTCGGGGATAAAAGGCGTGATGTTATGTTATATTATTTGGTTAAATCTGATGAGGTTACTGCTCAATAATGTTCCTAAGAATATGCAACTACGTTCACCTAATTACCTAAACATTAGTAATAACAAATATCTTAAATTGTGTTTTATTAATATTTATAACTTTTGACCTAATGGCTTTTATATGGTCTACTTTGGGTGTATAATATGTGGATCGTCGAGGCAAACGAATATTAAGTGACTACCACCATTTGACCTGTGGTAAAAACGGTTATAGGTAATGTCACATTTAAGTATCTAAAAAGCTATTCATTATATTATTCTACCTCTATCGATACATAGAAATACATCGTGTATTTCAAAAATGCTATTCATCGGCTTCAAATCGGATTCAAGATTCACAAATTAGAAAAAGAAATAATTAAACAGTTATTCCATAATATGTTTACTTGCAGCGGTACAAGAGGCCACCTCCACGGGTAACCCGGAGCTCCTCTCTATGGTGCTATCCCGGCGAGACTACCAGCGCCACGTGCTGCGCTCCGGCGGTATACCGGACCTACTGCGCCGGCTCAGTCTCGCGCCAGACTTCTATGTCGAAATGAAGTGGGAGTTTACTAGTTGGGGTATGTATAATAGATAAAAGTTAGTACAACTGAAATGTAACTAGTGAATAAACTTTTGGTATGGCTCCGGCTATTTTTAACTACATTTCTAATTCATTAAGAAAAGAACCTATGGCAATTTTTAAAAAGAAACTGTTATTGCTCTATCTGATTATTTATTTCATAAATTGTAACTGTGTCATAATGTCATCATCAATGAACCTACATCAATTTTTTCATGCCAAAATGGTGCGGTGTACAAGTCTACCTTATTAGTGTTTATATCACCTTATTCTAAAATATTCTATTCTAAAAAGTTTTTAAATTACTGTTGTTTTGACTACAGAATACAGATTGCTTTTTTTGTTTTCGTTTATGTATTAAAAACTTAGTTTATTCAAACAGCAAATCGAAACATTTGGCGGAACGATTGTTTATTGTACCCACGTCTGTTATTTCAACTAGGCTCAGTTAATCAACTACTTTTAATAAGATATTTACCTGCGCATTTACTTATTAGTATCAATAGATTTTCGACTTTATTACAAAACGATAAAGTCGAACATCCTCTGTACTTTAAACTGTTCTCTAACACAAATTTTATTTCATCCACAGTGCCTCTAGTATCGCGCATGTGTCCGTTCGACACGTACAAAGTGTACAAGCGCGGTGGGAATGTTCGGGTCGACACTACACTCGTCGGGTTCGACAACAATCGCTGGCAGAGAGGAGACAGAACGTATATCTTTCGAGGACAGGGTAAGTATTTTACAGCTAACGAACTTTTACCACCCACGCTAATAAAGTAGCTTATTGCTATGTCTAGGGTTGCCATCTTCTTTTTTGGTATTGAAAGTACATTGACGATACTGTATACTTTTTCTTCTTACTATAAGTACAAAAATAAAGTACAATTTATTCTTATATAGTATTATATTTAAAAATATATTTTTAATGCTTTTTGCAGTTTCTATTAAATTAGTACCTTTACTAAACAATTGCATGTTTACTAGAAATTGTGTAAGTGGCGCTGGCGAGTGGCGAAATCGATTCAACATAAATCATTAAATCAATATCAAATCGATAAGTTTACCGAAAAATACTTACGACTTTAATAGAAATGAAGTTTGCAAAAATAAAGTATTTTCGTGTACTTTATTATTCTTATAAAGTATAGAGTACAATTACCTTAAATAACGTACAATACATTATTATATAGTACGGGTGGCAACCCTAGCTATGTCCTTCCTTATACCTACTCCTAACTATAAGTTGCTCCCAATTTCATTGCAGGTCGTACAGCAAGTCTAATGGAATTAGACCATGAACTGGGAACGTCATGGTGTGAGTACTTGGAACCGATGTCTGGAGAAAGAGAGTGGCCAGCGCCGCCCCCGCATGTCATAGAACAACGCCTGGCCGCGCCGCTAGCTATCAACTACTTGGATACTGACAAAATTAGTTTTGAAAGGTGAGTTTTGAGTGGCGCTAGTGTCGAATTACGTGTCATGAATGTCAAAGTAAAGTGAAAAAGAAAATTTGTGATTCTTTTTTATATAAAACGTAATAATTAAGACCTAATAAAATTAGTTTGTAGAAGAGCTTTAGCTTCAGTGTCAAAATTGATGATACTTTTAAGTGATGTAACATGATTGATTTCCAACCTTATTTATTTGGTGTTAAGATTGAAAATATAATCCAAATATCTGATTAATAACAAAATATTTAACTCATTACAGAAATAAGAGCGGCATATGGGGTTGGAGACAGGACAAGACAGAGAACGTGAATGGCTACGAGTGCAAAGTGTTCGGTGCGAACAACGTGGAGCTAGTGTCGAAGACTCGCACGGAGCACGTGCGGGGCGCGGGCGCGGGCGCGGGCCCGGCCGCCGCCCGCCCCGCCCCCCCC